CCTGGGATGAAAATCAGTTTAGTTTTGCATATTCAAGAGTAAAAAATCGCAGGTGAGGGATGTGATATCTTTCATTTATACAGTGCCACCAGTATAAATGTCCAAATAATCCTCAAATCTTTATTTTTGTGACCAGTTTAACTTTTTATTGCACATAATTTACAACCTAAACTGTAAAATTATCTTTGTACGGAAACTTGACAATCTTGATGATTTTATCGCTAGGCAAGCAAAACAAATTAAAACGAAAGTTTTCTATTCTTTCTCTTGTGATTAATTAATTCTTATGTGTTATTATAAATTACTATATATTAGACTTATTTATTATAGTAAGTATTATATGGAAATATCTTGCATATCTTACTGATATTTTGTTACTATATTTAATTAAGCATTCCCTTAATGAGTTTTTTTATTCTTGTAGATAAATGATGCATGAAATACTTACATAATTGAGAGTTGATCGTTGCATGAAGAGCACGCACTTAATTTGAGAAGATCGGAATCAAGCCATGAATATACTGATGAAGATGTTGGACAAGATTCGAAAATCAAGAAAACTGAAAACAATGTTTCTGAGCAAATATTGATCGAAGATTAAGAAGATCTCCAATCCAAGAAATCGATCTAATGTTTAAGGAAATTAACTCCACAAGGAAGGACGTTGAAGACATGAAATGTGATGGCGCCTTACAACTTCGAGTTTGCATTTATGCCATCACAAAGACTCAGAGATGAGTTGCTGCAATTACAATTAGTATTGATCTTTCTTGTTCAAAATAATCTCTGAGAGTTCGTGAGAGTCGTTCTATATTTTTATAGTTTACATATTCAACAATTTAGTTTTGCGTTTTTGCATCACTGAATAATTGAAGTTCTCATAAACTCTTAGATACTTAGGGATTAACTACTTTATTAGCTTGGATGAATTCCAAATAGCTGCTCTGGTTCATGTTGTGGCCAGAGAAATAATTAGTAGTTTCAGGTATAGTTGTGATAAGTTTAGGAGGGAGTCCTATACGTATAATTCCAAATTATACAGAGTGTGCGTGACTGATTTTATAATGAATAATCTCTAAAGGGTAGTGGGACACTCCCCAAAGACTAATTTTATTTAATAGTTACTTCCGCTTTTAATTCCTGTGTTCTTACACAATTTGTTACTCTACATACTCCTCTGCAAATTTTTAATTGGAACCAGAGTACTGTTCGTATTCTAATAACAAGATAGAGATCTAAGTCCTTTGTGTTGTGGTTCATAATGCACGATCGGACATTATGAACCACGACGCTATGTCTATCACGCGCCCTCCGTATCTTGATGGATCTAACTACCCGTATAAACTGCATGTAGGTCCATCGACCTACTATCCTTTATGTCCCTTAGATACGTTACCAGTAGGTCCACCGACCTACTATCCATAGGTCCCTTATATACATATACTAGTGGTAGGTCCTGCGAATACTTTCCATAGGGCTATATACATAATTGTCCTCAGGTCGACTAAATATACTGTCAATAAGTCTACATACGTGAAGTGTCCTCAGCTTAGCCACACCAAAAGCTATCAAAAGGTCCTTGCTTATATCCGATCTACTAGATGATATGTCCATGTTATTCGAGCTAATCAAGAACAACTCACCCAAGCTACATAAGGAACAACTCAACCGGGCTAACTATGACGAGTTCCTAACGCGGAAGGTGGCAAATAGATCGCCTTTTTTTCGATTTTTAGTTCCTGCAAATTGCAATGTTCTGGTAGTAGGTATGTGAAAAATTCTAGTGTCACATAGAATTTTGGACCATTTATATAAAAAGTGGTCTTAGAGCGCTCACAATGCATTGGGTCAAATTTTATATTTGTCGCATATAAATAAACTTAAGCCTTAAATTATATGGACAAACCCAAGTAAAAAACCCCAAATGTTATCTAGTGTAAAAAATAAAATACCAGGTTTAGAGTACCTGACAACCAATAAAAATGCTCTAATATGTGTTCTCTATTAAAAGAAAATTAAATTATGAATAAATGATGATTCTGGAATTTCTTTAACCTTTCTTCCTTTCATCGATTTCTTGTGACAGATTTGACGTTATTCTCTCCCACGCAACACTATGCAATTTTCTTTCCTGTGCTTATGTCCAAAATAGATTTAAAAGTGAGATTGGTCTCATTTTTTGTTGCTACATAAGTTATACCATGTCCACTTTTAATTGCATTAGAAAACATTTTTTATATACCAAGTCTATTTTTTACATGACATATGATACTTTTTTAAGAGACTCAAATCATTGTGGGTGTCCTTAAGCAAACAAAAAAGCACTAAATCTAGATGGTGTGACATGTGAAAAAGAGGACTATGTCTCCACCTGGGTCCATTTTGAGACATGAGTCTTGACCCAAAGTTTTTTGTCATAAACATATTATTTTAATAAACAACTCATGATGATTTATTTTTACAACTTAAATTATTATTTTAGTAAACCACTCATAATTATTTTGTTCCACATCACTTTAGACCCAAGTTAAAAAAAATTGCATTGGAGTAGATGTGATCTATTTTTATATTGTTTCTCCACATCATTCAAGACACAAGTCTATTATATTGACAACTATACAAAATTAGACCCAAAGAATGGATGCTCACATCCACAATGCTTTGGGCCTATTGGAAAAAGGAAAAGGGACATTTTCATTTGTCCTACAAGATTTTAAAAATATTGCAAAAACACAATTCATAAACAAATAATTACATCTCTACCTAATATGTAATACATAACTACATTAATGCCTAAAGTAAGTTACCATATCCATTCAACTTCCATCCCCCTTTTTGTGGGCTTGATTAAGAGAGAGAAATGAAAAATAATAACTGACTCATTTAATTCCTTAATTCACGCTAATTCACGCAGTTTGTACATTTGTAATTCACGCAGCCGTCAGGTGGTATATTTTGCGTTTATGTTGGTATATATTCAGTATATGTTACAATGAAGAACATGTCGTCCATCAAAAAATTATGTCTTCTTTATTTATTTTTTATTTTTTTTACTTTTAGACATAAAAGTATATATAAACATATTATAGCAGTTACTTATATTCCATATACAAACAAATATACTGCAAATATACTGTACATATATACCCGTCGAACGTCTTCCTGTTAATGTCATGAGAAAATATACCGAGAATATACTGATAATATACCGTCGAACGTCTTCCTGTTAATGCCATGAGAAAATATACCGAAAAGATATTGATAATATACCAAAAATTTTTAACTTTTACATAATGTCATGAGAAAAAATACTGAAAATATACCGAGTATAAACCATACATATACAAAAGAAAAAATCATCAGTTTATGCTTTGTCAATATAAACCATACATACAAATAAGGTAGCCCTTATATTATACAGAACATATACCCTATATATACATAACATATACCCGATTAATTCAATCTTTTTCTTTCTCATCCCAAACACGCCTCTCATCTCAAATCTTCTTCCTTCTCCAAAGATTCTCGTTCCTTCGCAGCTTTCTCAAATCTTCTTCTTCTTTCTTCTTCCTGCTGGTGCTGAAGAAAGATGTCGCCCCGGGTCGGGGCGGATGGTCCAGAACCATCGGGTTCGGGCGCGGATACCGACAAGTCCGGGTTAACCGTGCGGGCGGAATTGCGAGACCTTCCTTCCCGTCCCGAACTGAACAGCAAATCGAATCACAACAACGGGAGATCGGAACTTATCGATTTCTCTAAGCATTTTTGACCAGTGCTTCATGGTTAGTATTTGTGTTTTGTTCCTAGTAGCCTTCAAATCTCACTCTTTGGCCTTTAGACCCCCTTCAGCGACTTCGCCCTTTAAGGCCTCAGGGTAAGGAGTAGTCAAAGATAGGGGGTGGGGAAGTGTTCGAGTTAGTCTCTCAACTCTACTAGCCGTACCGAGGACGATCTGGGCTCTTTCTTTGGTCCCCTACCCTGGTGAGAAGGGGGGTGAGCGTGGTTGGCTTTCGAGACTGAAAATTGGGGAAAAATGGTCTAAGGTTAGGAATTAGTATGAGCTGAATGTTGGGGATTAATGAGGAGGCGGAGGAGAGAATGAGGGGTTTGGGTACAAGATTCTGAAAATAAAAGGGAATAGAAGAAAGTTAAGGTATTAAATCCCATTAAATCCGTCTCTTTCCCTAATTAAAGGATAAGCTGACTTAAGTTTGAATTCTAGTATATGTGCAATTATTTTAGGGTGATTTTGTATCTTTGCAAATAAATATCAATTAGGTGTAAATGTGTAATATAAAATATATTTGATAGTATAGGGTGTAAATTTCTCAAAATGTTACATTGTGAACTTAGTGTACAACTAGGTTGACAACACAAGTGCAAACATCCACTTGTGTATTTCTTTTTTTTTTTGTTTACATATTTTCACTTGTATTGTCAACCGGTTGACAATGTATCATTTTCTAAGAAAAAAAGTCTATTAGAGATGCTCTTAAAGCATATCCAATGTTTGTGTCTATTGGAGAAAAAGTATAGTGTCACACAAGATTTTAGAGCTTATTGTATAAAAATTGGTCTCTAATGCAAACAAAAAAGCGTAAGTCCTGATGATCTCACTTGTGAAAAAGTGGACGGTCTCCACTTAGTTTTATTTTGAAATTAGTGTAGACCCAAAGTTTTTTTTATTAAAAATATTATTTTAATAACTAACTTATGATTATTTATTTCTACATCATTTTAAATTCAACTTAGATTATTATTTTAATAAACCACTAATAATTACTTTGTGTGATATCACTTTAGACCCAAGTTAAAGAAATTGTATTGAAGTAGACATGGTATATTTCTTTTTATTATTTAATATTATTGAAGATCCAATTCTATTATATTAACAATTAAGTAAAATTATACTCAAAACATTGTAAATAGAGATCATTTCATTGTATACTTCAAAATTATTATTATTATTATTATTATTATTATTATTATTATTTCTCTAACTTTAATTTTTTAAAATCACCAGTAAAAAACAATCGTCCCTTCCCATGCTCGGCATCTCCGTCTCACGCAGAGGCGGCTCTTTCAAAGGCTGAAAATCTCCATCTGTCTGACTCAACTCCTCACGCAGATTCAATCGACCGCATCTCGTACCTGCAGTTGTTTTCAATTTCCGATTTACAATTGCTGTTATTTTTTTTTTTAAATTATTTAGATAGGGTTGGGTCTCCATCATCCAATCTCTTTATGATTTGCTCTGAATCATGCAATTGAATACAAATTTGAGGTCGAGGACTGAGAAATTGAAAATTATTCTTTTGTTTTCTTTTCTATTTATAGACTGGGCTTCTATTTGTGGATTGAGACTGTAATTTGTGTTGGTTGATCGGGAGTGCTAAGTTGATGATTTAGTGGCTTTCTAAGCTTGTCGATTAGTTTATATTTTGTGTAATTTTCAGGGTTTATGGTAAAAAAAGTTAAAATGAATTTACCTACGCCATTACAAACAGTACTCTGTTTATACTCTTCAGTTATAGCTACAGGACGGTTGGGTATAAAATTTGGTGGTGACAATTGAATTTCAGGTAATGAGTACCTGATCAATGTAAAAGGGTGCCTGATCAATGCTTTTCTACTCCTCACGCAGACTCTATTGCCTCTCTCTGCCTCTGTCCTTTCTGACCACACCTTACACTGCCCAGCTCAATTAACCTCTCCAAATTTCATTTAAAGAGGTAATATTAAGGTTGTGGGTATATATTTTTCATTGATTTGAGGTTTAGAAAGGGTCTATAGAATTGAATCTCATTCGTGTAGCCTGGTTTGTTAATTAAAGGAGTTTGGTTCAGAAGTTGTTTGTTTGAGCTATTGTGGTTGAAGATAATTATTTCTTAGAAAAAAAAAAAAACAGGNAATGAACAATGCTGAGTATTTAAATACTGATGGTAAACTCATTACGCAATTCCAATTTTGTTTCAATGTGTGAATTGAGTGTGAATTTGAGGATCAATTGGAATGTGATTCATTTTTGGTGGTCACTAGGATGATAGTAAGTGAAGTGATGAATTACCCCTGTAAAACTCACATACGAGGTATATGGTGTTTTTTTTTGGTATGGAAATGGGTTGTACAAGGGCAGTGCAAACAATTGATTACTTAAGGTATTATGATTTAAAATACTCTTTAGGAGGTTAATGCAAAAAAAATAAAAAGAACCTCAGTACTTGGAAGAGAAATACATTCTTTGCTGAAACCATGTTATTATTTATCAGAATTAATAATGATTATTATTAGAATTTGAGTTTGAGTCTCCAATACTCACAATCAGAGGAAGAAGTGCAGGAAATACAAAAGAAAGATGGGAATAAGATTTGTGCTTATGGTGAACAAGCAAGGTCAGACCCGTCTTGCACAATATTATGAATACCTAAATCTCGAAGAACGGCGAGCTTTGGAAGGTGAAATCGTACGCAAATGCCTAGCCCGAAACGAGCAGCAGGTCTTAATCTCTAGTGTTTCTGTATATAATATCTGTGTATGTACCTATAATATGTTGTGTTTATCTGTATATGTTTTAATTTGTTGATTTGCAGATTTATTCTATTTCTATGGAATTTGTTGTTTACAGCAACAATAATCTTACCACTTTGAATTTTAATTTATTACTGCATGTGCAGACTTGTCATGAATGTGATTGGTGTTGGATCTAAAAGATTGCATTTAAAAGATTGTCTTGAACAAAATGATAGTGTATTATAACTTTTAATAATGTACAATAAATCGTGATTCATGTTATTTATATATGTTTTCCCTTGCATTGCACGAGCCACATATTAGTGTGGTATAGAGGTTTATGCAATTTGATTAGATGAGAAAATGAAAGAAAAAGTCAGAGAAGTCGTTCAATGAACAAATATAAGGTCATTTTAATCTATTTAAAATCTCAAATTATGTGTCACAATGTGCTAATGAATTTCAATGGTTCTTTTCATCTGGAACAACATTTTTGTGAAATGAATATCCATTTGGAATTTTAGAATTTGGATAAACAACACTTGCACTACAACAACAACAACATACCCAGTATATTCCCAACAGGTTGGGGTCTGGGGGGTTAGTTGTACGCAGACCTTACCCTTGTAATTATACAAGGAGGCTGTTTCCGTAGCGACCCAAGGTGCATTGCGCCGTTTGATATATTTTTTTTTATTTTTCTAGAAACTTCACTAATAGAAGAAGCACTAGAATTTAATTGAGCCATTTTGATCTAGTCCATTATTAGCACTATGTCAGGAGAATTGTCAACAATGACTCTTCCAGCTCCATTTGCAATGGACACATATAAACAACACTTGCACTGCCTATCAAAATAAATTTTAATTTTTTTGTTTGGTGATTTTCATAGTTTGCTAGTTTGATGTTCCTTCTTTGTTGAACAGTGTTCATTTGTTGAGCATCGGAATTACAAAGTCATCTATAGGCGATATGCATCACTATTTTTCTTGGTTGGAGTGGACAATGAAGAAGTAAGTTATATATTATCTACTATGATTCTTGAATTACACTTGCTACACTTGTTTTATATTTTGTATCCAAGACTTGGTGAAGATTTCATGTCGGGCGTTGTAGAAAGCTCATTGTATATATAACTTGTATGTGAATTGTGAAATCTTCTTTGGTGATGGTGATAGATTAAATATATAATGATGTTGTAGTTGCATTATGTTTCATTTATAGGACTAGGCCATGAAGGAGCATTATCGCCGATAAAAGTTCGTAAGTGGCATATTTAAATTTCCGTGTTTGTGAGTTGTGACACAAAAGCTTAAAGGCTGACTTGTTTGATATCATGTATAATTGTGGCTCACTAAATTTTGGGTGTTTCGCGCATACAAAACCTTAATAGAAGGGGGTCTGACGCAATTTTTAAAATACAGGGGGGAAACGCGCAGATTTCGTATAATACAGGGGGGTTTGGTGCATTAAACCCTTTGAGAGAATCCTTCCTTTTCAAATTCAATAATATATTGAGAAAATAGGAATTATTGAGAGCCATTTAAAATTATTTTTATGTTACAATGTTTGAGTGGATGTAAGCAAGTTACCAAACTTTTGAGCCTTATTGTGCTTCTATAAGTTGATTGGTATCTTTTTAGAGGGACACTTGTTGTTACTCAAGCAATTATGTCTTAGAATTGTCAATTTTGTAAAATTGGAATAATTCGATCATGTATAGTTATAAAGTTATTTAAAGCTTGCTGTGATTCGAGAATGATCTTGGCTCAGTACCTGGCAGCTTATAGTGGAACAGCTTTAGTTACTGTTGATCTGGTTTTATTTACTTTTATTGTGTTTAACTACTAAAGTTGTACATTTCTGGTTTTGCAGAATGAGCTTGCAATTTTAGAATTTATTCACCTACTGGTTGAGACTATGGATCGCCATTTCGGAAATGTGGTGAGTTTAATGATTATATAAAAAATAAAGAAGAAAGGAAAGATAAATGTGTTGCGTGTTCGGTTTTTTAAAGTTTTGTGCATCTGTATTTTGCAGTGTGAGCTGGACATTATGTTTCATCTAGAGAAAGCACATTTTATGCTGGAGGAAATGGTAATGAATGGTTGTATTGTAGAGACCAGCAAGTCTAACATACTCTCTCCAATCCAGCTAATGGACAAAGCATCATAGGATAAGTTTAAGTAAAACTTAAAAAGCACTTGTATCCTGTATTTCTGTTCCAGTTATTCCATGTTCACCAAAATCAAATGCTTGTTTTCTTTAAACGATGCATGAATTTCTTGGAACGTTCTAAGTGTTATGTAGATGTGTTTTGGAACGTTCTATTGCCGTTGCAATTTAGACTTGAGCAATTTCTGAAAAAGATACACAACCAGAATCAATGATTTATCACACAATTCTACAATTTGAGAAAAAAAATAATCAAAAATGCGTGTCAAATCATTGAGCTTGTATCCACCAACTTATCATGTGAAGATAGCTTTTTAAGGAGAAAATAAAGAAAAAAGAGGAGACGAAAAAAACATATAATGATCGGGGCATCTAAGATATTGGAATATCTTTTAATTCACTCAAAGCTTCAAAAGTAACTTCTTGTGACAATAATATGCCTATAGTGGAGAAAGTGGACATAAGGTGTTAGCCACTTGTTATAGCACAAATGATATAATCAGTTTATCCTTTTTCTCCCCTTGTTCTTGTNCCTCCAGAGTCCAGCGTAGCTCAAAGGAAGCCATCTAATCATGCAAAAGTAAAACAATAAAATTAATCACGATATGTGCTTATGTGATGGTTCAAATTAAGTGTGCTTATATTATGACTGCATTACAATCCACATTCATAAACAGCCTAACTAATAATAATAATAATAATAATAATAATAATAATAATAATAATTTTCTCTAAGTATAATGAGAGGCAAGCCTCAAATTCATAATAGTTAATTAGTTATTAGTTAATTACCCATGCATTACATAACGCTTGCGTCACTTTTGGGACCCAATTAAGTTGTATTCATGAATTTCGCCACGATATATATCCGTTAATTCATTGGCAAGGTGTAAATATATCATATATGTTGACAAGTAATTACTTTATTTTTCCTTTTCTTGATTCCTGAAGCCATATTCCTCCAAAAATCCTCTTCATGCTTTTTAAGATTTATGAAATATCAATCCAGCCCCCCTCATGGGCTCCCCATGCAAGAATAATAATTGTTAAGAGGAAATGAAAAAATAAAAATAAAAATAAAAATAAAGACACTTGAAATTCCAAGAGGCTGTCTTGCATCATCCTAGAGTCTCCTTTAACTTGCAATGGAATATCTAAAAGTAAAAAAAGGAAAGCAGAGCTTCTAAGTACATCAGCTGGTTAAAGGGAAAGCTAATTCATATGCCCTCTGATTTTAATTTTTTCCACATTTTCAAACTTATGGGCCCATATGTCCTGCATTATATTCGCTGTTTTCCCTTTCATTTTAGGAGCATAAAATTATCTTCGTCAACATGGAATGCATATCAAATTTTTGGTTCATAGTTTATATGCATGTCCAAAATTTAGGCAGCACAAGATTTTAGCAATGTATTGAATTATGTAAACAAGTAAACGCCACTGTAAGGGGGAATAAATTATCATATGCACGTGTTTCATTATATTTGTTGTTAAAATTTAAATTTTCTGTTAAAATAAATAATTTATTCCAATATCATGACATGCACACATGATTAATTAAATTTTCTACTAATAGTGGATAACGTTTTTCAAATATATATTTATGTAGATATATATAATATAGATTGACTCCAGTGATTTGGGTACGTGAAACTCAATCTCACCTATTGATTTATGGTCAAGTCTGCCGATCAGGATTTGCCACTTAAATTTATCGACTTTTAGAACCGAAAGGGGAGAAGTCGGTCGATTATGCTCGTTTAAAATAGACTTGTTCGTTATTGTATTGTCTATGAGTTGTTGGATTTGATAGTTGATAATTTACATTCACTTTCTTGTTACGAAGAGTTATTGAAAGTGAACATCTGGACGAGTAAACGATTCAAGTCTAATAGCCGAGCAATTGATTGTCAGGTAATTGTATTAAGAACCAAAAACGATTATCCCTGACTCCCTAGCTCTTTTATTATTGAGTGAATTTGTTTGCAATTGAAATCTCGTTTTACATTGTTTGAGAATCGTAGTAGTTAATCAAAACTAAATTAATGAATTAGAGTGTTTAGGATTTATTTTCTCTTTTTGTGATTGAATATTCGCACAATCTAATCTGACTAACTTTCCTTGCGATACGACCCGAGGATTGAATCTTTCGATTCAACTCCGGTAATAATACTTACAACATTTTTGTTGGTAGTTTTTTGTTTCTTGTTAAGTTGTTAGTTGTTGCTTCTTTTCGTTTAACTTGTTTGTTGCGAGTTCCAACGCAGGGACGAATTTAGCTTTGGCTTGGGGCCTTGGGCTAGGTTGAAGCACAGGCCTATTATTTATTTATTTATTTATTTTTTTAACAACTACAAGTTTGAGAAAATAAAATGTAATGTATTTTTAGCTCACCTCAATAAATCAACCCACTAACCCATCGAAATAATTCACTTCTTCATTTAAGTTAAAAAATTACAAATACCATTCTAATAAAATAATATACATCATTGATCTACCTTTTCCACTAGGCATTAACCCACAAAACACCACTATACACTAAACTCCACTCCAATCAAATAAATTAGTCATGACCATGCCCCTCCTCTGAACACTAGAACAATGAATTTAGAGGAACAAATTTATTCTTTAATAGTAAAATATATTTTTAAACTCCCTATTAGATATTTATTTCATTTGTCTAATAGTCTTTATCTATCTTTTTATTTTAGATGAGTTGTTTAGGGTTTTGAGTAATGGCTAGGATCATTTAGTTGCAATTCTTGTTTTGTTGGTTCTGTATGAAGTAGTAATTGTGTTTGTGTGTGTGTGTGTTTTTTTAATCTCTATCCTCTAGTGTGGTTGTTGTTGTATATCATATTTGAATTTAAATTTATGATCATGTGTAACCATTTCATTTTGCTAATAACTATAGAAAATCTATTTATTTGTATTGTGATATCTGTAGAAATTCACATGAAGCACTAACATTCGGCCAAGAAAGGAAACACCCAATTAATATTATCGTTCTTTAGAGAACAGGATCGACGTCAGACTAATGAAAGCACATCAAATACGGTGCAAAATGAGCATAATGAATTTTATTTGTAAAAGTTCGCCGAGTACAACTTCAGTGAATATTTAAAAAAAAGATATTATGTAATTTTAAGAAAATGAGTTTTTAAAATTCTAGCTCAGTTTACTCTAAATTTTTGGATCCATTCCTGTTGCTGGGTAGCTCGTTGCTTGCCTCAGTCAGTCTCGGGTTAGTCCCGAGTTTAGGCCTAAGTCATTCGGTCCTCTCATTTACATCTTGTGTGCTTCTCTGTAAACTTTATTTTTTTTTTTCAATAAAATTTCTATCGTTTGGAAAAAAAAATTACATGTCATAACTGAATCGTAAGAACATTTTGAAACTTCGGAGATTACTTAAATAATTTAACAGTGATTTAAAGCTAGTGGATGGTACCCTTTTGACAATTTCTTAAAGCTAGTAACCACAAACTAATTAAGTGCTAAGCTCATCTAATTGGCTAGCTACTTTTCTACTTTGCATCTAATCATGTTCATCAATATTAAATGTAAAATTGGAAATTCAGTAGATCAAAGTCATGAAAATAGTATGGAATAGTGATGTTTAATGATTGAATTTTTATTCCGAGGATCGAACACTTTGCTCGCAATCCAAGAAATTAAAGCACTAATTAGATCTAAATGGCTTTTTACGATTTGTTGTTTGCCATTTGTGACTCTTTTATTTTCCTTTTCTTCTTGTTCTTTTTTTTTCTTTACAATTTTCTATGATCAAACTAAGTTGGATTTATTTACTCAATTTATCTTTGAATAATTGAATCTCGTAATATAGTATCTTATGGATTGCCTTTTAGGTGATTGTAAAATATTTTAATATTGCTCTTGTTATCTTCTCTTCTTTGATTGCATGCTTCCTTTTTTCATGGATGGTTGTATAGATTAATAATAACTATATATATATGCACTTACATGTACACATCTTCAACGAATCTTTTTGTCATTTCCTTGTGTTTGTAATTGAAAGGAGAAAGGGATTCGTTTTCCTTTATTAAATAAACTAGTATTCGACTTGTGCATTTGCACAGATATAAATAAATTATTGTGAGTCTGTATGCATATAATGATTAATTATTTTTCTTTCACTTTTTTATAGACCAAATTTACAATTAAAAGAGTTGGAATATTTTTTTTTAAATTGCGTTTATCTGATTGGATGTAATGTATATTTTGGTACGTCTTTTATTTGTGAATTATTTATTATTTATTTATGAATTTCAAATATATTTTTTATTTTAAAAAAAAAAATTAAATGTAACTACAATAATAACATCTAATCACATTATACGGTCAACACATTATATGGTCAATTGTCATTAATAAAAAATTTAAAAATAATTTTTGTAATTTTGAAGTGATGAGTATTAATTATTTAATGATTAAATGAAAGATTAAATACATCAAAATGTAACGGTTTTTTGAGGGAGAATTGTTAAATTGCCACGTAGGTAAAATTAAATAGGTTTTATTAAAAGTTTTGAGCTAGTAATTATATAGAGTACTCCAATAAACTTTATATTATATATGTTGAGTTTTTTCTAATTCATATCCATATTCCAAAAAGGACCTAGTCAATGGCTTGAATTTCATTCTATATAGAATCCACTTGACTGTACTGTACATTATGTGCACTGTACGTACACAAGAATCCACGCAATTCTTGGACTTTAAGCAAAGAGAAAAATATGGAGCTTCTTTATGCTTCGTTCGTTGTCTTATTTTTCATTTTCCATCAATATCAAATTAAAAGTTCAATATTCTTCAATTGAAAAAAATATAGGTTAATGTTCAAATCGAACCACCAGTTACTTATACTTTGACTGGGACAACTACTTTTTTTTTTTGTCAAATAGTAATTTGAATTTTTGGATACTGATAATAACAATTATAATTGTAAAAAAAAAAAAATGAATATAATAGTTTTTATCAGCACCACTGGCTTTGTGACACGTCTNCAGTATATGCCTTTCAATCTTTAAAAAGAAACACACCATTAAAGCATCATCATGGCTAATTTTTCTCCCCATTAAAGCATCATAAGATTTTTATAAAAGTTGCACCCATTGAACATCATGGTGGGCACTCTGCCTAACTCATAAAAGAATCACAAATATAGGAAAATAGCAGAGGATAAAAACAAACCACACACTTTCTCATTTTATAATATATAATTAATTTTCAATTTTCTCTCCTTTTGAGAACTCAAATTGAACTGTGTTGCTTTCTCTGTTTTTGCAGCACTAGAGATTCTCTCCACCAAGTCAAAAAGGAAAAGGAATAATATACTATACATATAGAGGAAGACTCGCATTCGAATCAACTTGCATGAGTCCTAGTATAAAAGTTAATAACGTGACATAGAATTATAATATGTATGTTATGTATAAGGTTATTTTCATCAATGTATAATGCTAATTAAGAAGATGGCAATAATAGTATTTATTAGAATATAATACTACTTGTGAGTTGTATCACATCGTTTATTAAGAAGATGAGAATAGTAGTATTTATTAAAAAAATCATCGTCC